TCTTTTAGTCTATTTCTCAAAGTCCTTTCAATGCAATTCATATTTCCTCATTCTTCAATACCCTGACAAACTTTACAGTTTGCCAATTTTCAGAATCCAATTTCAACCCTTTTCATTCTACAGAATCCAATTTCCAACCTTTTTCATTCTATGTATGTCGTATGCTTTCATCAAAATATTAATTCTGTTTTCATATATATATAATTATTATATTATCTAAACATTTTCTTGTTTTTTAATTTTTTGCCTTACTTTATTTCTGAACAAATCTACCCAACTTAAACTTTAGATTACCCGAGAAACAGAATACTTTAGAGTTAAATACCTCTTAAAATTTCCAATAGTTTTTTTATCATAATTTTCTGATCTAAAAAATTAAAACTTCAAATTTATATTCCCATTTTATACAGATGTAATAAAAAAATATAAATAAAATAGTCATTTTTTCAACTGTTAAAATCAAAAAGATTATTCCATTGTTTGTTATTAATTCAATCATTTATAAAAAAAAAAAAATTGCATTAAAGTTTTCAGACATTTCATTTATTTTTCAGAAAATTCAACATTTTTTCTTTCCATACTTACCAATATATCTATCTTTCGATTTTAATTCCTATTCTCACAGCATACATGTATATATTCCCACAATGACTACTTCAATATTTTCTAAGAAAAGAATAGCCTGCACCAGAGTGATGATTTTCTTTCTTGTGGTGCACTAGATGTGTTAACACCATGAATGACGCTGGACATAACGAACAAACAAATTTCACCTTCAAGTCCTTGTGAGAAGCGAGGCGAACGTGTCGGTCAAGTGCGAAACTACTGCCAAACGTCTTATCACACAGCGAACAATTCCAGGAATCTAGGGAATGTTTTATCAACATATGATCTGCGTGACTTGACGATGATAAAAACCCCTGTTCACAATGATCGCATCGCCAACTCTTTGTATTGTTTTCAACCTTGTCATGCCAATTACCATGTCTTCTCATCACTTCATGGGAAAGGAAAACCTTGTCACATTTTGAACACAACATTTCCATAAATTCATCTTCATCACCCTCGTTTTCTTCTTCCCCTTGATTGTAATTATCAAATCTTCTACCAGGGCTATAATTACTCTGTCTGTTGGTCCCCTGCCTCCTTGACATTGTTTGTGAATTACTTACCTGATTCCTTATTCCGCTTCGTACTTGCTGCCCTCGTATCATCTTAGAGCTATCAACAGATGGTTTTATTGTACCTATCACTCCTCTCACAGCCTGTTGTGGTGTTGCTGCTACGTAATGTTGAATGGTTCCAGATGTGGAAATACCCTGTTGGTTGGATCCTCTTTGACCTTGAACCATTGATCCAGTCTGTTGGTTCTGGTTGACGGACATCATGTTAACCCCAGACTGTGTTTGCTGGTACTGACCACTCTGCATTGGTTGTAGTGACATCTGTTGATTAGAATGCAAGTTTGTCTGGAACGCTGGTTGGTGGGTCTGAAAATTTGGCGAGTTTGTTTGTTGCGGAATCATTTGTGGCTGTGTTTGCATTTGCTGAAATGGTTGTTGTTGCTGCTGAAACTGTGGCTGTATGTTCTGAAACTGCTGTTGCTGCTGCTGAACGTTCATCTGCTGCATAGGCTGCTGTTGAAATTGTGGCTGCTGCTGAATGACCATTGTACCCATGGAAGTGGGAGTGCCTACTACATTCATTACAGGTGGAGGTAAGGACATGTCTGGTCTCACACCCATACTATGTTGGGCAAATTGGGGCATGGACATTTGCGAATTCTGAACAGGTGGCAAACTATGGTCTACAGAACTGCCTGCACCCGCGAACTGCATTACTGTCTGGCCTTGTAAAGGAATAGATGGGGACTGTGATGAAATGAAAGGCTGAGACTGCATGGACTGCTGCATCATAGGTTGGTTTATTTGGAACTGAGGTTGATTCATTTTGGATACAAAGTTATTGCCTTGTAAGTTTCTATTGGTCCCAAGATCTTGATTTTCATCTCTATCTCTTCCATGTCTTTGATTATTACGACCAGAATTTCTGTCATCTGATAGGCTTGCATCTCCACTAAAGGAACCTTTTCTTTCATTTCTATCAAATTCTCTATTTTTTTCTTTTCTTCTATCATTCCTACCTTCCCATGAACCCCCTCTTTTATTAGAATCATCTCTCCATTTGTCATTTAATGTATCACCTCTTTCTCCTTTACTGTCTTTAACATTGTAATTTTCATTTTTCCTATTTCTATTGTCATCGCTATCATTTCCTCTCCTATTGCTTTTATTATCAACATACTTACCTTTATTTCTTTGCTCCTTATCCTTACTTCTTTCATCTGTATCACTATTGGAGAGATTTCGTTCTTTCCTGAATCTATTCTCATCCCTGCTATTCTTTTCTGCCATTCTACTTGTTTTGTCTCCATATCTTATAGTCTTTGTTTCTCTCTCATCTCTGTACCTATCAGCAATACCCTTCTCATACTCCTCATCCCTTTCATTTTTGGTCCTTTCAAATCTTTCTCCAAAATTTTCTGCTTCAGAATAATTCTGTCTGTAATCCAACTTCCTGTCATCTTTTCTATAACTAGACTCGTAATGCATGTAATCCTTATCACTCTCAGAATTTCTGTATGTACCTTTTGAAAACCTATCATTACTTACTGTTATTTCAATTGGACTCATTGACCTCCTCTTTTTAATTTGACCAGTTTCATAGCCAGAACTGTAGTTTGTACGTTTCATTGCCACATTGCTTTCAACCTTATCTTTGGGACTCTCAATATAAACTGACCTTCTACTTTTGTCACCCTGTTTCAATTTTTGGACAGAATCTACTTGATTCATTCTTGGGGAACGCTTATTGCTTTGAAGAGCAGTTTTGCTACTCTGCTGTATTGAGCTATTGTTCACCACTCTTCGGACATCTCCTGACGTACTTTGAATCATAACATCCCTTGATGCATCAGTAACATTCTTATTGATTCTTGGCTGACCAGGTTTTCGGAACACTGGCCTCTTTGCTTGTCTTGAATCGTACTCGTCATTTACTTCATATGCATCTTCATTTTCAGAAACATCTTCCAGATCACTTACATTATCATACTTAGCCTCATCTTCACTCACATCATCAAGATCACTTGTATTATTATCTCTCTTAACCAGCTTATACTGTTTATTACTCTGGTGGGATGCACTTGGTGGTGATATACGCTTTATCAAAGGCTTCTTTTTAACATTTTTACTTTCTCTTACCACTTTGTTTACATCAGGATTACTTAATAACTTTTTAAGTAATTTCTTCTCAATTTCTTTCTCCATTCTTTGCTTTCTTTTTATTTCTAAAGATCTCTTTAATTTAGCCCTAGCTTGCACAGACAAAGGTTTCTTTTTACTAGCAGTTACTCGACTACCTGAAGATACTAAATTACGACCCTTCTTTTTGTCAGGAACAGGTTTATCAACATCTAGTATGTCATTGCTATCATTGTATGTCAGTGGAATATTTCCAGTATAATCTGGTGGGCCCTGATTGTTAACAAATGGAATAAAAACAACTTGCTCACCCTGTGGAACTCTATCAGAATGATGAAACTGTTGTGGAATATACTGAAGAGGGAGTGCGTCTTCACCTTGTTGCACATCCATTTCTGGATTAATAATAATCTGTCCAAACTGATCAACCATGTGAGGCTGATCATTGTTTGGAATGAAAATAACCTGTTGTGGATTAAGGTCCAATGTTTGATCATCTAAAAGGGGCTCAATATTAGAAACATCATCTTGTATTACATCTGAGTGTTTTTCCTTATCTACCACAGACTTTCTGTCCCAATGCTTATTTTCCTTTCTCTTTTGTCTACCATTATCTTTATGGCCATCTCTAAAGCCTCTATTATTATTCCTATTTTGACTAAACCCTCCTTTGAAATATTTCTGTTTAACCCTCTGAGATGCTACATCCCTTGATTTAAATGGCCTATTTGTAAACCTATCTTTATTTCCAATGTTTAACCCTTCCCTCTGAAACCTATTTCCCCTTACATTTCCAGTAACATTTTTAGAATATGAAAACTTTTCAAAACCTCTATTAAACTTATCTCCCCTTTGATTATCAAAGCCTTGACTTACTCTATCAGTATTTCTAAACTTGGAATACACTTTATTGTCTGAAATTCTATCATCCTTTAAAATTGCCCCTGTTACACCCACTTCACTCTTACCATGTGTTTGCTGCTTTGATAGATCAGAGTGGTAATGTGCAATCATTGGCTTAGTCTTGTGCCTATTGTCAAATATTTTGTTTGAAAATCCTTGAAAGGACTTTTTCCTTTTCAAATAAGAGTCCTTGATTCTTGATGCTGTAGAAAATCTTGACCGGCCAACAAGATTATTATTGTTGTTTCTGCCAGTCGGTCTTAAACCCTGTCTATTGTCTTTATGTCTTTGGCCATAGTTAAAATTAGTTCTAAATCTGTTTGTCGATGCTGACACAGTGTTTGTATTATTACCATGGATTCCACTTGGTCTTTTTGACTCCAAACTGTCTTTAAAACTGAGAGAACTTCCAAACTTACTGGTGCTTGAATTGGCACGTTTATCAAAAGCAGGTCTGGATTCATTTTTATTTTCTCTATCTCTACTGTGTTGTTGTTGTTCATTACTTCCCCCTTCTCTACTGTGCTGTTGCCTTTCTTTACTTCTGTTTTCTCTGCTAGGTGGCTGTCTTTCAAATGCTCTACTATCTGTATAACTTTTACTTCTTGATGCATTTTGGTGACATCCCCTTTCCGTGCTCCTCCTCGACTTTGATCGACTGTGCTCACCAGAGCTACTGAATGCTTTCATTTCTTTTTCAAAGCCATCATCATCAGCCATAATACTTAGAATGTCTTCATCGTCAATGTGTCCAATGTCACTATCTAATTTTCTTCCTGAATTACTTCTTTGTCTAGATGAATGTTTATCTCCTGGTTTCTTAAAACTACCACTGTCAGCTCTTGATTTGTTAATACTTTGCTTCCTATCCTCTTTTTTCTTGCTAGTACCACTGACTGATTCATGCTTATTTTGGTTTTTCTTCGAACTGTCATGTGTCTTCTTTCTGTCAAGCGTCTTCTTATCCATATCCTTACTGTTTTCATCTTTAGATGTTTTATTGCTTTTTGTTACACTTAAAGTTTTGGAGTTTTTCTGGTCAGACTTTTTATGATCATGTGTAGAAGCTGTTTCACTTCTATCCTTATTTCTTGTATTACTATCCTTTCTGATCATTTTACTTACATTATCTTTTGAAGTTGCACTGGTTTTATTTCCACTATTTCTTCTATCACTTGAACTGCTCCTTGTTGAATTTGCTCCTTTTCCTTTACCAGTGCCTGGCCTATCTGTAGATTTAGAGTTGTCCCTCTTGTCATCATACCTTTTCTTCTCTTCAGTGGTTTTGTAAGCTGACTTCTTGTCTGTAAACTTATCTCTTTTCCAGTTAGTATTATTTCTTCCATCTCTTCCACTGGGAGTCAGATGTTCATCTCTGCCATAATTAGATCTTTGACCTGGTTGATTTCTGTTAATCCCTGAATGATGATGTTGACCAGTTTTCTTTTCTCTAAACACATCATGCTCATGTCTTTGACGATGTTGTTCATTAAGATTGTTTCTCAGGTCTCCATCATACCTGGCAGAGGTATCAATAGTGAATTCAAAAGTTTCTCTACCGCTGTAATAATCATCATCAATTCTGAACTCCTGGTCCCTATTGCTCAGATCATCTAGGCCCTGTGGTCTTCTATTATCTAAATATAAATCATCATCCCTGTTATCGAATTCCCGATATCCTCTGACATCTTCAACAACATTTCTTCTGTCATCTTGATCTCCATATACAACATGATCTTGAAACTCATCTTGAATGTTCAAATTCACAGAATGTATGTCTGGATAAGAGTCTCTGACATCAGCATAGTCTCCCCTGTTCTCAAACTCGCCTCTTCCATATCTGTTCTGGTCAAAATTTCTCGACTCGTCTCTGAATCCTCGGTTATGGTCTCTATTGGCTTGAGGATTACCATCAAACCCAGATCTGTTGCTATCTCTGTGGTCATCCCTCTTTTGAATACCACTGAATCGCTGATTATTGCTTCCAAACTGTTTGCCTTTACCTCTGGCAAATCCGCCCCTTTTTCCAAAACGCCCACTTTTGTTTCTCCACATGGTCTTTTTCTTTTTTTGATAAAAAAGAATAATCTCTACCTCTTATCTCTTGTTTATCTATTCATTTTACTATCAACTATGAACACTTTCTTCATTTGGTTAATGACATTACTGTGATTACCAGGAATAATCATTCATTAGTACCAATGCAGGAGTCTGTACCATCAACCTGAAATATCAAGCATGTCAACATATTTATTACCATCATGTCTTTTCATGGCGAGTTAGTTTCACAAAACAAATTCAAGTAACAACTTTTTTAGTCTAATGATGTATATTTAACACTTTAAAAGGAGCAAAACACATTTTGAACTCTTGAGTGTCAGATTTTAAATATGCATTTTGTAAAAGCAATACAAATTCTTGGAAAAAAGTGCATGCTAAATGGTTGAGCCCATTGCTATTGATTTGAACAGGAAATAACTAAGCAATAAGTATTTGAGCTGCTTCAAATAAAACATGAATAGTCCACAATATTCAAAATCTCAGGGTTTTTTCCCCAGGATTTTGGGAACATGACCCATACTCATGGAATTGGGAATTTCAGCAATGTTTTGTTAAAAATTGGGAAAAAATGCATGACTTAAATTTTGCAGTGATTAAATGAATGCAGAGAATCACTGTCTAGGACAACATCTTCATACATTTAAGAATAATAACAGTGAAGAAGCCTTTATTTTCAAAGATTTTACATTTTGTTTTTTTAATATTTTTATTTTGTAACTTTCAATTGGAAATTTTTTCCTGTTGGTTGGGAAAATAATATAATATTTTCAATTGGGAATATGACCAAATTTTTGGCTATGAAATAAGCCAAAAAAAAATCCCTGAATCTTATCAGCTGAAACAAACATTTACAGCAATACTACAAAAAGAAAGGTACTTACAGTTATTCAAAATGAAAATGGATGTACTTTGTAAAATATTTCTTCCAGTGTAATGTTCTTTGTCCACAGATTATCGTTGAAACGACCACTTGATTTCTTCTTAATCTATACAGAGGATGATCTTAATTCTTATCTGCCAAACTGTCACTCAAATTTGTGATAAAAACCTCCCACATCCAATATCAGTACCACCTGAAACAATATATACCTGGCTCATTATACTTATCATACATTTACTTTGTTTTTGAATTGTTGTTTTTTTATTTGTTTGTATGTTATACATTTGTATCACAAATAGAAAGCAGTGATTGATCTAAATACTTGACCTGCTTCAGAGACACATTAAAATCATTGATTTCGCCTAGGGACTCATTGTTTTTAAACATGGGCATCCTTGGCCTCATTTTAGGGAACTTCTAGATTAGTCACTGAGTAAATGATTACAAAAATAATGGATAAGGGCAGTTAAAATAAAACTAAAACAAGAACTGTCGGAGGACAGTATCACTCGGCTATTTGAAAAGGTTGTCACAACTTACTACATAAACTACATAAAATTGACCAAAATAAAAATAAAAAGGTACAAAGACTTATTACTAAGATGTTTTATCAAGTAAATCACTGCTTTATTATTATGAATGCATAAAATTGTCCCAAAAAAGGCACAAACCCTTCAGTAGTTATGGAGATAACAGCTTACAAGCAAAACTTTAGGATGAATTTCTAAGTTGAAAAAGGGGAGAAAAATCCGCCTAAATGCAAGATAGAATTATGGATCTTGGTCATTGACCTACAATTATGACCCTAAATGCATATGTGAAATTTAAATAAATATCTTTAACAGTTATTGAGATATGTAAAACTTGCAATTAAAACATTAACCAAGAGACTAAGTAGAAAAGGGGAGATAAATCAGCCTAAATGCAAGATAGTTATGGAACTTGGTCAGTGATATACAATAATGACCCTTCATGCATATGTGAAGTTTCAAATCAAAATTTCTGACAGTTACTGAGATATGTAAAACTTGCATGTAAACATTACCCAAGAGACTAAGTAAGCAAGAGCCATGTTATCATGGCCATCCCCCACCGAATGTGTTTGCTCATTGGAAGAATGTGTATTTTGTAGAGAAGAATTATTCAATGTTAAGAGGTCTTTTGGTAATGAAAACTTATGGCTGAAGTGATAAAAGCTATTGAAACCTATGTGAATACTGATGGATGAAAATAATAACAGGCAATAACTGAAAAATAATGCAGGGTAGGCTATCATTCTTGTGTGCTGCACTCCTCCTCAATGAGATCTATCCACCTATGAAGTTTCAAGTTGATACCTCTACCACTTTTTGAGATAAGCTCGAGACAAAAAGTATGAAAAACAAGCATTTGATAGTATTGCGGGCAATACAGTAGTCCCCTACCGGTCCCTCAAAAAGTTCTTTAATTGTCATACACTCCTGTGTATTGCCATTTATAATGAATTTGAGGATGAAGTCTGTATTTGAAAATATCAACCACAAAACATAATAAAATAAGTTTGTCTATATCACAGTAATGTGTTAAGTTTCCATGCTTAGTAAGGAAATTATGTTTATACAACCTTGTCATATTATTAAGATGTGGGATTTTAAGGTAAATCCTATAAGGAATGAAGAAGTTGGAGTGAAAATACCAGTTTCTCGAAAAAAATCTAAGTTCAAGGGGGACATAATTCTGGAAATAGTCTTGCTAGAGTATTTAACATTCTCAAAAATGTTGAGTGATAATAAGAAACATATATATGAAGTTTGAAGTAGATACATTAGGAAATAAAGAAGTTATTTAAAAAAGACAACAATTTTTCCTCTAAAAAATCTAAGTTCAAGGGAGGTAATACTGATATTTTTTGTGCTAGAGTTATAAACCTTGTCACATATGATGTGGTTGATGACCAGAAACTTATATTTAAAGTTTGAAGTAAACACCTTAAGAAATAAAGAACATATAGTGAAAAAGCTGAAAAAATTTAAATCAGAAATCTTGAAATTCAGGCTATTTGTTGCCATAGCAACCAGAATTTTCAACATAGGAAGAAAAGGAAAAGATGTGCATAATCTCCAGACTGCCATCTACCCATATTTCAAGTTTCATAAAAATATTTTCTGTACTTTTTGAGTTATCACTGGATCCAGTTTATGTGTTAAATGTGCCATATTTTCAGACTATTTGTTGCCATAGCAACCAGAATTTTCAACATAGGAAGAAAAAAAAAAGACGTGCATAATCTCCATACTGCCATCTATCCATATATCAAGTTTCATAAAAATATTTTCAGTACTTTTTGCGTTATCGCGGGATCCAGTTTTGTGGACGGACGGACTGACGGACTGACAGACAGACAGACAGACGGACAGACAGACAGACGGACGGAGGGTAAACCTAAAGTCCCCTCCGGTTAAACCGGTAGGGGACTAATAAAAAAGGGCCATAACTCAAAAAATTATAAAGGGAAGAGTTATCATTCTTGCACACAGCATTCATCCTCAATAAGATCTATCCACCTATAAAGTTTCATGTTGACATCTTAAAGACTTTGAATTATGCTCCACTCAGGTGAAAAATTAAGTATGAAAAATAACAAAGGGCAATAACTCAAAAATTATGAAAGGTAGAGTTATCATTCTTATGCACTGCACACCTCCTGAGTGAGATCTATCTACCTATGAAGTTTCATATTGATATCTTAAAGCCTTTTTGAGTTATGCTCTGGACAAAAATTAAGTTTGAAAAATAACAAAGGGCAATAACTGAAAAATTATGCATGGTAGAGTTATAATTCTTGTGCACTGCACTCCTCCTCAAAATGATCTATCCACCTATGAAGTTTCAAGTTGATATTTTGAGATATGCTCCGGACAAAAATGTCGGACAGACGGACGAAGACTATTTCTATATCCGCCGCCGCCTTTCGGCGGGGGATAAAAAGGGGAGATAAATCAGCCTTAATACATGACACAGATATGAGTGCTGATCAGTGATCATTATTTATAACCACAAATATACATATGAAGTTTCAACTTTGTATCTTTAATAGTTTCAGAGATATGCAAAACTTGCATGTTAAACTTAACCAAGAAAAGGAGATTTTTTTAATATTATTCAGTCAAAATACATGGCAGAGTAATAATCTTGAGATGTGACCTTCAATTATGACCCTAAGTACATAGTGTAAAGTTTCAAGTAAATATCTTTGAATACCTTTAACCAAAATTTCTAAGTTTCAAAGGGGCAAATAATTCTGCAAATATTGCAGGCAAAGTTATGCAACTTTGCAAACTGGTGTACATTGTTACTATAAAAAAAGTCTTGTAAATTTCAATTGAATATCTCTAGCAATAATTGAGATATCTGACTACAAAAAAACTTTAACCAAAATTTCTAAGTTAAAAAGGGGCATAATTCTGTAAATATTGTAGGTAGAGTTATCAAACTTGTCAATCTGATGTACATTGTTACTATAAATAAAGTACTGTAAGTTTCAATTGAATATCTCAAGCAATTCTTGAGATATTTGACTTTACAAAAAACTTTAACCAACCCAGACGCTGACGCCGGGGCAACAACAATAGCTCTCCTTATTTTTTGAATAGTCGAGCTAATAATAGAAGATGTTTCATGCTTAATATCTAAACTCTAGCTATTTGGGTTCTTTAAAAGAAGATATTTTAAGTTTTTACTATATGCATATAGGGAAAATCAATGACCCCCTGGGGCAGGGCCAATTTTGACCCAAGGGCTTTTATTTGAACAAACTTGGTAGACACTCACTAGAAGATGTTTCATGCTTAATATCTAAACTCTAGCTATTTGGATTTTTTCAAAGAAGATTTTTTAAGTTTTTGCTATACACACATAAGGAAAATCAATGACCCCCGGGACGGGGCCAATTTTGACCCCAGGGCTTTCATTTGAACAAACTTTGTAGACACCCAATAGAACATGTTTCATGCTAAATATCTTAGCTCTAGCTCTTTGGGTTCTTTAAAAGAAGATTTTTTAAGTTTTTACTATATGCATATAGGGAAAATCAAACCCAAACCAAAATGCATGCCTGCGACAAGCTTGCCGCAAGCTTGTCGCAAGCTTGCCGCAAGCTTACAGCTTAAATACAAGGTTGCTGCATGCTTGCAACGAGCTTGCGCAAGCTTGCGATGACTTTTGAAATATATTGCAAGCTTGTTTAAAATTCATGCAAGCTTGCGAACATTTGATGTAAGCTTGCAATGCCGCAAGCTTGCAATTAGTAGACACTTAGAAAATTTTTGTACAAATCTACACTTAGAAATTTTTTGTTAAAGTAATGGAAACACTTAGAAAATTTTTGTCAAAAGTGTACACATTAAAAAAAATAAATCCAAAAATGGTAGTTTCAGTGATAATTAACTAGTTTAAACTAGATTACCACGCTAAAGTTTGTCTGCCAATGAAATCGCCCTATTTTGTTAAAATTTTGCCAAAATATTTACCATACAATGCTATAACTCAACTTCATGTATTAAATTAATATGTGAAATGAGCCGATTTAATGGACTCCGCCTATTCATATAATGTACTCGATTTGAATGGGCGAGGGCTAACTGTATGTCGGTTATAGGTAATATACAGAGTTTTAAGAAACTATTTTTCTCGCCTCACCAGGTGTAGATTTTCCAGGGTAAGCCTGGAAGAGAGGCTGGAAAACTATGGAAAAGCATGGAATTCCATGGACATTCATGGAGAATGCGGTATTTTTTCCATGCTAGATGGACTTTTTTTGTCCAGCCATTTCCAGCATTGTTGGAATAGGCTGGAAATTGGCTGGACATTTGTGGTAAAAGACTGGAAAACCATGGACTTTACTTCCATATAGCATGGAAAGTGGAACTTAGATTTTTTTGATGCTGAAAATGTGTTAAACTTTCTCTAAGTATGCTGGAAAAAACTTAACTAGTTTAAACTAGATTACCACGCTAAAGTTTGTCTGCCAATGAAATCGCCCTATTTTGTTAAAATTTTGCCAAAATATTTACCATACAATGCTATAACTCAACTTCATGTATTAAATTAATATGTGAAATGAGCCGATTTAATGGACTCCGCCTATTCATATAATGTACTCGATTTGAATGGGCGAGGGCTAACTGTATGTCGGTTATAGGTAATATACAGAGT